CACAAGGAGATTTTACCCGTTGGTGTCAATTAGGTGGTCTGTGGACTTTTGTTGCTCTTCACGGCGCTTTTGGATTAATAGGTTTCATGTTACGTCAATGAAAAGAACTTGGAAATTTTATTGAATTGTAAATGATATTCTTCTTACAAAATAAGAGCCTAAAGCTTCAAATAAATACACTTAGCTTGACTTGCAAGAAAAGAAATAACAATCCTAACAAACCTAACAACTTAACAACTTGGAGTTAATCAACTTAATTAACATGTGATTAAAAATAAACACATGTGCTTTAATTGCTCTGTTGATTCCCTAAGATGTTGTTGATATATGTTGCTGATGGAAGACCTCTGTTGCAGCAAGGCCAAGTCAGGCCAAGGAGATCTCGGTCACGATGCCATGAAGATCTCGGTCATTTGGTCAGCTCTGCCTGGTCATGTGGAAGCATCCTTCTGGGTCATCTGGTGCGAAGGTTGGCCAGCAACTTGGACAGGAAACCTGCTACTATGGATTAAGGCAAAACAAGCAATGGCAAGACAAAGCATAACAATATATATAAGAGTTTAATAGCCCCCTCAAGCTGGAGAGTAATTATCGATTACTCCCAGCTTGGGAAGAAGATAATGAAATGAAGAAGGTTCCAAAGCTTTAGTGAGTATATCAGCTACCTGTTCCTTATTGTAATGGGCAGTAAATGGAAGAGTTTGGCTTGCAAACGTTCACGTGTGACATGACAATCAATGTCTATATGTTTTGTTCTTTCATAGAATACTGAATTTGCAGCAATGTATCTAGCAGAGTTGTTATCACAGTATAATAAAGCAGGAGATGTAAAATTCACATGAAAATCACCAAGTAAGTATGTTAACCATTGTATTTTACAAGAAGCAGTGGCAAGAGACATGTATTCAGCCTCAGAAGATGATTTAGAGACAATGTTATGCTTCTTTGATTTCCATGAAATCAAGGAATTGTCAAGGAACATACAATAACCAGAAATGGACTTTCTAGTGTCAATGCAAGTGACCCAATCAAAATCATTAAAACCCTTAATGTGAGTTAATGAGTTGGAGGGATAAAACAAGCCTTGACCAGGACTGCCTTTGATGTATCTAAGAATTCTGGTCATAGCTTTATAGTGCAGCATAGTAGGATTAGCCATGAATTGGCTCAATTATTGTATAGCAAAACTCAAATCAGGTCTTGTATTAGTAAGGTATAAAATATGCCCACAATTTACCTATAGAATAAAGGATCAGGATAAGGTGTGCTATCATGTTTGTTTAGAGGTGAGCCTTTAACCATAGGAGTAGAGACGGACTTAGAGTGAATAAAACCAGTATCATCAAGAAGATCTAAAGCATACTTTCTTTGACATAAGGTGAGCCCATTGTGAGGCCTAGTAACTTCAATGCCAAGAAGTATTTCAAGGAACCAAGATCCTTGATTTTGAAGTAAAAGTCAAGGTGTTGTTTGACCCTATTGATCTCATTAGGGTCATTTCCTGCAAGGATTCAATCATCCACATAAATGAGGAGGGCAGTGAACTGATAAGTGGAATTCTTGGTGAAGAGAGAGTGATCATGATGAGACTAGATGTATCCCATGCACCTAAGGCAGTGGAAAGTTTGGCAAACCACTGCCTACTTGCTTGTTTGAGGCCATAAAGGGATTTCTTGAGTTTGCAAACTTGATTAGGTGTAGATGTAGTGACACTAGGGGGTAAGAGCATATAAACTTCTTCATGAAGATCCCCATGGAGGAAGGCATTATTCACATCAAGTTGTTCAATATGCCAATTATGTGTAGAGGCTAAGGCAAGGAGCAGCCTCACTGTTGTGATTTTCACAACAGGAGCAAAAGTATCATGATAATCTAGGCCTTCTGTTTGGGTATAACCCTTGGCCACAAGTCTTGCCTTATATCTCTCAATGCTACCATCAGATTTAAATTTGAGCTTGTAGACCCATTTGCAGCCAATGGCTTTCTTATCAGGGGGTAATGGGACAAGATCCCATGTATTGTTTTGTTATAAGGCTAACAACTCTTTATCCATAGCTTGAGTCCATTCTTTTGATTGAATGGCTTGCTTAAAATTCTTAGGCTCAGAGTTGGTGATAATAGACAAACAATGATGCAAATTTGTAGGAGAAATAGCAGCATAGGACAAGACTTTGTTCAGATGATGTTGAATGGCAGAATGAGAGGGAAAAGTGGATTGGATAAGAGATAACAATGAAAGTCTCTCAAGTAGGAGGTTGGATGATGATGTCTTTGAGATCTCCTAACAGTGACACTAGGAGGAGTAATATGAGGAGATTCAAAAGTTATAGAAGGTGGGATGTCTTCATTGGTGTAGACATGATCACTAGGGAGATCAAGCTAGAAAAATAGAGAGTGATAATCATGTGTAGGTGTTGTGGATTCATGGCTTTCTAAAGATTGAGTGTGTTGATAAGGAAAAATATGCTCATAAAAAATCACATGTTTGTTAAGAAACAATTCTTTAGTATATTTATTTCTTGAAGTAAAAAACCTTTAGTACCAAATCTGTAGCCAATGAAAATGCATTTTCAGGAACGAGCATCAAGCTTTTGTCTATTTCTAGTAAGGGTTGAGGCATAACAAAGACAACCAAAGACCTTCAATTGTTGGAGGTCAGACTGCTTGTTCATAAGGACTTCAAAGGGGATTTGAAGCCAAGAACAGAGCTAGGCAATATGTTCATAAGATACACAGCATGTCTAGCTGCATAGCCCCAAAAGCTCTTAGGCAAATTTGAATGAAAAAGAAGGCATCTAGTGATGTTAAGAATCTATCTATGTCTTCTCTCAACAACAGAATTCTGCTCAGGTGTTTCAACACATGATTTCTGGTGCAAGATGCCATTTTCAGAGTAGAACTTAGGCATGAGAAACTCTAAGCCATTATCAGTTCTAATGGCCTTAAGGTTGGTATCAAATTGCACAATAATCATTTTGACAAAGTTGTGAATGAGATTTCTGGTTTCATTCTTAGAACACATAAGGAAAATCCAAGTATGTCTTGTAAAATCATCAACAATGGTTAGAAAATATTTATGGTCATGTGTAGTGGGTGTGCTCAAGGGACCCCAAATATCCATATGCACTAAATCAAAAGCTTTAAGAGTGTGTGTGGAACTGTTAGGAAAAGGAAGCTTGGCTTGTTTAGCTAAGTAACAAAAATCACACACTTTATTACAATCAATCTTTACAAAGGGAAATTGTTTATGTAAATGTTTCAAAACTTTAGAGGATGGATGCCCCATCCTAAAATGCCAAAGATCAAAAGATGAATCATGATTGCTTAAGGAATTAACAAAGTGGGGGGAATCCCTTGTTTGCTTCTCAGAGTTGTTGAGGATGTAAAGGTTGTTGTGAGCCTTAGCATGACCAATCATCCTCAAGGAAATCATATCCTAGACAAAACAAATCATTATCAAAGATAAGCTTGCATTGAGAAGCACAAACAAGCTTATGTATGGATATCAAGTTGTATTTGAGTCTAGGTATGTGTAAAACATTATTTAGGCATAAATCTTTAGATACTCTAACAATTCCAGAGTGTTTAGCCAAGATAGTTAAGTCATTTGGTAGTCTTATATTGATAGGCTTAATGGCTTTATATGTAACATAATTGTTCACATCATTAGTGATGTGATCAGTAGCCCCACTATCAAAAATCCATGACTTGTTGATAAGAAAAATACCTGATACATTGTGATCAACACTTTGCTCAGGTTCTTGGCTAACTTGATTTATTGCATGCTCATAGTTAATGTTGAGGTTGCCTGCATCTTGTTCTGAATTCTGCTCAGATTGCCTATGTGTGGTGTCTTCATTGCTTCCTGTTTGGCTTGTGAGCACAATGTTGATGGAGCCACTCATAGATCCCTTTGATTTGAATTTAAAATTTGGTGGAAATCCATGTTTGAAGTAGCAAGTCTCTATGGTGTGTCCATTCTTACCATAGAA